AGGGAAGGATTTTTAAGGATAGGGGTGATGACAACTGTTTTTAAAGGAGGTGGGAACGTTACCAGTAGACAGGGAAAGATTGATGATGCCTGTGAGGGGAGGGGCACAGTGCTGGAGCTGGGAGGTAAGGTGAGGGGTAGGGATGGAGTCGAGAGAGCAGGGAGTGGGTTTCATGTGGGTTATAATAGTGAGAGAGAAGGGGGAGACAGATTTGAAGGTGTCGATCATTCCCTATAGCCCTGCAAGCTTGTTCTCCCCACATAATTATCTACTTAAAAGTTGTTATCGAATCAGCTTCCACCACCCTTCCAGGCAATTCATTCCAGATCTGAACAACTTGCTGTGTGAAAAAATTTCTCCTCCCCTCTGTTTCCTTTAACACAACTATTTTAAATCGATGTCCTCAGGTTACTCACCCACCCGCCAATGGAAACAGTTTCTCCTTTTTCACCTTATCGAATCCCCTCAATTTTGAAAACTTCTATTAAGTTTGCTCTTAACCTTCTCTGCTCCAAGGAGAATAATCCTAGCTTCTCCAGCCTCTCCTGATAACTGAAGTCCCTCATTCCTGGTACCATCCTGGTAAATCTCCTTTGCACCCTCTCCAATGCCTTGACATCCTTCCTAAAGTGTGAGGCCCAGAATTGAACGCAGTCTCCAGCTGAGGCTTAACCAGTGTTTTATAAAGGTTCATCATAACTTCCTGACTTTTGCATTCTTTGCCCCTATTTATAAAGTCTAGTAACCCGTACGGGTCCTGCCACCTTCAAATGAACCCCCAGGTCTCTCTGTTCCCTCAACCACTTTAAGATTGTACCATCAGCTAATATTGTCTCTCCTCATTCTTACTCCCAAAATGCATCACTTTACAGTTCTTCACATTAAACTTCATCTGCCATGTGTCTTCCCATGTTACCAGTCTGTCTATGTCCTCTTGCAGTCTACTACTATCCACCTCACTGTTTACTACTTTTCCTAGCTTAGTATCATCTGCAAACTTAGAAATTGTTCGCCCTATACCCAAGTCCAGGTCATTTATATAGATCAAAAACGACAGTGGTCCCAATACTGACCCCTGGGGGACAGCACTGCACACTTCCCTCCAGTCAGAGAAACAACTGTTCACCACCACTCTCTGCTTTCTCTTTCCCAGCCAGTTCTGTATCCATGCTAACACTGTGCCTTTAATACCGTGGGCTTGTATTTTGGTTACAAGTCTCTTATGTGGCACTTTATCAAACGCCTTTTGAAAATCCATATAAACTACATCAACTGCACTACCTTCATCCACCCTAATAATAATAATAATCCTTGCATTTGATATAGCGCTTTTCACGTCGGGAGGACGTCCCAACGTGCTTCACAGAACACACTGTAAAGTGAATTGACTGTATATTTGTGGGCGAACGCAGCAGCCAATTGCGCACAGCAATGTCTCACAAACAGTCGTAGATTGAAAATGACCAATTTAATTATTGTTTTAGGTTTTTCGAGGGATTATTATTAGGCGTGTGGAGTAAGGAAACTTGCCCAAGGTTTCGCCCTGCCTGGAATTGAACTCAGGTTTCTCGCTTGCAAAGCGAGTGCTCTAACCACTGAGCTACAGGACTCCACCCTCTCTGTTAATTCATCAAAACTCTATCAGATTTGTTAGACACCATTTGTCTTTAACAAATCTGTGTTGGCTGTACTTTATTAACCTATATTTTTCTAAGTGCAAATTTATTTTGTCCCAGATTAGTCTCTAGAAGTTTCCCTACTACTGACGTTAGACTGACTGCCTGTAGTTGCCAGGTTTATCCTTCTGCCCCTTTTTGTACAGGGGAGTAATGTTTGCAATCCTTCAGTCCTCTGACACCCCCCCAGTGTCCAAGGAGAATTGAAAGATTGTGGCCAGAGCCTCCGTTATTTCCATCCTTCCACCCTTAGTTCCATCAGTAGCCTAGGATACATCCCGTCAGGACCAGGTGACTTATCTACCTTGAGCACCGTCAATTTTTTAGTACTCCTCTTGATTTATTCTTATCCAATCCAATTTCTCTACCCTCCCTTCCGATACTGTGGCATTGGCTGCATCCTCTTCTTTTGTGAAGACAGATGCAAAGTACTCATTCAGTACATCTGCCTCCACAAGAGGATTTCCTCGTTGGTCCCTAATTGGACCCACCCTACCTTTGCCTAACCTTTTATTCTTTATATGCTTATAAAATACCTTACAGTTCCCTTTTATGTTACCCATTAATCTTTTCGCATACAATCTCTTTGCTCCTCTTATTTCCTTTTTCAGTTCTCCTCTGTACTTTCTACATTCTATTTGATTATCTTTTGTATTGTATTTTGGACCTGATATTTATCATAAGCCTCCTTTATCTGTTTTATTTTAATCCAGGGAGATTTGGATGCCCTACCTTTTCCCCTTTGTGGGAATGCATTTGTTGTCACACTCGTCCTGTGAGGGCATTGGTTCCAGCCCTGTTCAGGTGTAACCCATCCAACTTGAACAGGTCCCACCTGCCCCAGAACTGGTCCCAATGTTCCAGGACCCTGAAGCTCTCTGTTCTGCCCCATTTTAACAGTCAGGCATTTATGTGTTTGATCCTGCTGTTTTGCTGGTCTCCCCTCCACTACGATTCATAAAATCCAGGTCATACAAAACTCTGATGCCCACATTCCTATCTGCACCAAACTCCGCTCCCTGATTATCCCAGTCCTTGCAAGACTGCACTGGCTGCCTGTCCCAGAGAGGATTGACATCAAGATCCTCACCCTTATCTTCAAATCCCTCCACTCCTCTGCACCCCCCTACCTCTCTGACCTCCTTTCTCCTCACAACAGTGCCCATTGCCTTCGCTCCACCAGGTCTGGCCTCCTCCTTGTCCCCCCTAGTCCTCCATTCCACCATCGGCAGCCGTGCCCTCAGTCACTACGCCCTGAGGCTATGGAACTCCCTTCCTCACTCCCTTCGCCTCGTCCCCTCTCTTCCCACTTTCAGGTTTTGGCTGAAGACCTTTCTTTTCGACCTTGCCTTTGGTCACCTTCCTCCCCCTCCCCCTGGCTCAGCCATAATAATAATAATGGCCCCGGGATCCATTACTGTGAAGCACTCTTAGACACCGTCTGGCATGGGAGGGCGCTATATGAATCCAAGTTGTTGTTGTTGTTGATACTCACTTGCACGAGGCACAGGGAGTAATCCAGAGATCACGACCTTTGAGGTCCTACCCTTTAGCTTTTTCCCTAGCATCTAATACTCTCCCTGTAGGATCTCAGCCCACTCTTTTACTCAAAGAAAGAGTTCTCTCTTGCTCTCTAGTTCTCTTTTGCTCTCTATTGCTCAAGAATTCCCACTCTCATCAAATTCCTTAAGAGAATTCTCACTCTGTTCCACCTCACTCAGTTCCCTCCTCACTCTGCCAAGCTCTCTGCTGTCTCATGTGGTCCAGGATCTGACAGTGGACGGTTAAATTAGATTTGGGCTAGGCGTGTTCAGCGACACTCACCTGACCCTTGAGGGAGCAGAGATGGCTGGTGTACCAGGGCGAGTTGCGTGAGTAGGAGGTGGTTCGGGAGGTGAGGGGGGCAAGGGCATCAAGAATGGTGGAGAGAGAGTTGCGGAGGAGAGTGACCGAGGAAAATAAGTCATTGAGGGAGGAAGCCCAGAGGGGGTGGAGTTCAAATGACTCCAGGGCAGCGGAATGGGGGGCAGAGGCAGAGGGAAGCTAGAAGGGTGGAGATGTCAGAGAGGAAGGGGTGGGGGGGGCGATAAACAAGAAGAATTGTACCCCTGGAAAAGCAATCCACCAATCGACTAACAACCAACTTACCGCTGGCTAAACCGAGGCGTGTGTGTGTGTGTGTGTGTGTGTGTGTGGAGTACGGGAAACGTAAAACCATTGAACGTTCATCGCGTTAGGTTTTAAAGTATTATTTTTATAAAAGTAAAATGAGGTACCCAGAGCCAAAGCTGGTTTTTTTTTTCAACACCAAGTGTACAACCACCACCACAACAACAGCAACAACAAAACACGCCCAATTGGGCGTGAACCAGCCCAATCTGGGCACCTTGGGCGGTGGTGGGAGGGTGAGTGAGTGAGTGGGTGGGTGAGTGGCTGATGGCTACACTGGAGGAGACGTGCCCACGCCTCCCCCTCCCCGTCGCCTCTTGGAGCTGCTCGGCTCGTCACGTCAGTCAGGAGGTGGCGTTAGTCCTGATGTTCGCCTCCAGCTGCTCCTGTTCCTGCTGCTCCTGCTCCAGCAGCTCCTGCTCGCTGCTGGCAGAGAGAGAGAGAGAGAGAGACACAGACACACACACACACACACACAGAGAGATTGAGGGTAACGCTGAATGAAACTGAGGATTTAATGCACTGACTCCCGACCACTGGCGTATTGTTTTCTTGGTTTAGCTTCGACAATGGAAGGAGCTCCTGTGGACGGGACAATCTGACCTGAGCAGCGTATTATATACATAGAGATGTATGTACACAGAGAGCGTATAGAGATATCTCTCTCTCTCTATATATATATATATTTTATTGTGTTATTTTGTGCGCTTTTTTTTTTCCTCTCTGAATTCCAGGCTTTGCATTTGATTTGATTTGATTTGATTTTTTTTTCTCTCTGGTAATTTATTATCTTTATTTTGGGTTTTTGCTTGGTGTCCTTTTTGCTGATCGATCGATGGATCGACGGATCGATCGGTCGGTCGGTTGGTTGATTGATTGATTGATTGATTGACGTTTCTGTCATCGCTCCTTTTTTAGTTTGTTATCGTTTCGTGGTTCATTTCGTGTTTAATACTTGAAATCAAATCATCCCACACCCCCACCCCCACCCCCCCCACCCCCACCCCCACCCCCACCCACCCCCCAAAAAAAAAAAAAACCATTGCTGTTGGAGCTGCTGCTGCAGTCAGTCAGAGTGCAATCACACACACACACACACACATACACACACACAGTCACCAGTACGGTCCATCCCCCTCTCCTCCCCCTCCAGCCATGGCTGAGAAGATCCCGACGGGAATGGCCAAGAAAGCGTCCCGATCCACAGCCTCCCTGCCTCCCGAGCCCATCGAGATCATCAGGAGCAAAGCCTGCTCCAGGAGGGTGAGGATCAACGTGGGGGGACTGAACCATGAGGTGCTGTGGAGGACGCTGGACAGGTTGCCCAGGACCCGCCTGGGGAAGCTCCGGGACTGCAACACCAACGAGTCGCTGATGGAAGTCTGCGACGACTACAACCTGCCCGAGAACGAGTACTTCTTCGACCGCCACCCGGGGGCTTTCACGTCCATCCTGAATTTCTACCGCACCGGCAAACTGCACATGATGGAGGAGATGTGCGCCCTGTCGTTCGGCCAAGAGCTCGACTACTGGGGGGTGGACGAGATCTACTTGGAGTCGTGCTGCCAGGCCAGGTACCACCAGAAGAAGGAGCAGATGAACGAGGAGCTGAGGCGCGAAGCCGAGACCATGAAGGAGCGAGAGGGCGAGGAGTTCGACGACTCCTGCTGCCCCGAGAAGAGGCAGAAGTTGTGGGATCTGCTGGAGAAACCCGGCTCTTCGGTGGCTGCAAAGGTAAGAAGCTGATGGGCTCCGTCCTCCTGCACTCACCAGTCAGGACCCATGGCCAGGAGGCAACTCTCCACATAGATATACATTGTATGTTTTATATATATATTATATATATATAAATTATCACTCACGACTGAAATTCCCCAGTAAATGGTTTGTTGCAGTGACTGAACAAAGTTCTGCTTTGGAGCGATGTATTATATATACGTTGTATACTATGTACATATATTATATATATTGTGTATATTATATATAGTATATGTAATATATATTGTGTATATACTGGATGTCCCTTTGACTGACAAACCTGGATTTTAATTCCCCTTCTCTTGAGCCAATTCGTTGTCAAAGAAAAAATTGTGTATGATTTCTCTCTCTTCCCCCTTCTTTTTTTCGTTCTTTGGAAACAACTGCAGAGCTTGTGCTCATTTCAGTTATTTTATATTAAATGAGAAAGGGGCAAACCCCCCCCCCCCACCACCACCATCACCATCACCCCACCACCATCCCCCCCCACACTACCACCATCACCCCCCCCACACCACCACCATCACCCCACTACCATCACCCCACCACCATCACCCCACCTCCCACCTCTCCCCCCCAAAAAAAACACAACACAGGCAATAAATCCCCAGTCATATTTGTGCACTAACACACACAGCACAGAGCAGTCGATGGAAACGAACGACTTAGCGTCAGGAAAGCACTGAAACCGTTGTCATGGTGATTTGTGGGTTTAGAAATACTCTGTTCAAATTGTGCTATTTCCAGTCTTTCATGTTTTTTGGTGTTCTTTTCGAATATTTTGTAAAGGCGAAGATGTAGCCCTCTGAGCCAGAGTGACAATCTTAAATTGCTGGACGTCGAGAGATTGTGTGTGTGTGTGTGTTTTTTTCACAAACCTTTTGAATTCCCTGTGAAACTATTAAGCTTCATGTTACATTTGCAACACACACACACACACAAATCGTTACTGAATTGTTTTAGTTAATTATAAAAAAAAGACTACTGTTCTTAGGATACATTGGTTTCGAAATACATCGCTCCAAAGCAGAACTTTGTTCAGTCACTGCAACAAACCATTTACTGGGGAATTTCAGTTGTTAGTGATAATCTACAATGTTTATAAATACCAGACCAAGCTTTCAAACTTTCTGCTCACTTCACTGCGAACTTTACCTTTTTCAATGCTTTTCGGTGTGTGATTTATTCTTGGTCTCCAGAATTTTGTAAAGAAGTTTGTCGCTTCTTTCAATGTCACTTCTTTCTCATTGGATGCGGTTCCACAGTTGTCTCCACTGCCTTTGCTCACTGAAATTAAACTGTAAACTGGTAGGTGGAAAATACTGCATTGCTCCCGACTCCTACCCCAACCACAATACATAGATATGCACAGGCCATTGCAAGTAGTACGAGTTCCATTATATTATGATAATAACCATAATATTATAGTTGTTTATGCAATTCTTTGGAGAAACTTAATGTCCAATTAAAAGTATATTTCTCAATATTAGAAACCTAAATCTGGATTATTACAGTGATTAGTTTACATCATGTTTTCTATGGGGTTTTTCCAAAATGTCGCCTCTACATAGTCATTCTAAAACCAGATAAAGTAATAATTGTGATTATTAAGTGCCCCTTAAAGTGGGCACTTTTGAATTGTTTGCTTCTCCCCCTATATTGTACAACATACTGCGCGCATTATGTCTGAATATGAGATCAGGGAGCATTTTGACTTGGTAAAAGAGAATGCTTAATCTATAGGAAGTATCAACCAATTGCTGCTGTAGGCAAATCTCCTTGTTGGCTTGATTTGTATTCCGGTTAACTAAAAAAAATGCATCAGAGTGCCCAGAAGAGGGGGGGGGGGAGTGTTATGTTTAACACTCTCACAACTTGCTTTCTCACTCCAGTGTCTTCATTTGTGCAAAGCGCCCTCTCTCTCTCTCTCTCTCTCTCTCTCGCCTTCCTCCATTCCCATCACTGCTCTATAATAATTGTGGTGAGCATAGACACTGCTGCTCGAGAAAACCCACAGAAATAAGCTCCATGATATCGAATTTATATAGATATGGCTATTTTGAAGGCTAGTTTAAAAAAAAGTATTTTCTTTCTTTTGTGGAGGAAACTGCATTTGTCTAAGCAAGTTCTCCCACAAGAGCTGAATCGCAGGAAACCCTGCAACCATTTTTACTTGCCATTAATTTTTTTTTGAACAGCAGCATTCAAATATCATTCATGGATTTGCCCAGAAAATGTAACTTTGTTTTTACTATTTGCAAGCTGATGATTTTCATCATAGTAAAGTCTATTTCTGTTTGATTGCTGATAATGGTTATTAAGTGAATTGTTAGAGTGAGTGTCCTGTGGAGGAGCATTTGTTGTCGGAAGTAGGATGCATTTTCTGGTGATGTGTGGTTAGCTTCCTGTGCTAAAATATTGCCATTTTCTTGGTCGTTGGGTGGCTTCAAGTCACGTCCTAAGACCCTCCTCTTCGACTGTGCCTTCAGTCACCCTCCTACTCCTACCCTCCCTGCCCTCCACCCCTCCTGATCCCAACCCCCTGCTCGGGTCCAAATCCCTGACTGTCCAGCATCTTGAGACAACCTCCCAACGTGAAAGGCGCTATGCAAATGTAATTTGTTGTTGTTGCCTAATTATGTCACTCCCTGTGCCTCGCCTCTATGGTACGTGCAGCTAGCACCACTGGTGACACTACTTGAAGGAAGTGCCAATTATAATGTCATGCACACAATATGCAGAAAATGAAGTCGGCAGCAATCATTTTTTCACACTTCATTTAACATGGCCTCAGAGGGATTGAACCCAGATGATTGCATTATAATAGGGTTGCTCTGAACATCCTTCTTTCTATCTGTTTCACTTGCTTATCCCTTCCTCTGCAACATGATCTCTCACTTGTACCTCTGAAATGTACCATATACCTTGTCCCTTTTCTCCCATTCAAGCTCACTTATGGTCCTCATTTTATTTTTCCCTGATTGTCTCCCATTCCTCTCCCAATATTTTCTTGCACTATACTATTTTACAATGTTCACTTCTCTCTATTCTCCTATTCAACGTATCCTCAAGTTGGCATCTCTTTAATCCACTCCTAACCAATTTACCAAAATGCAGTTATAGTAATCAGTCATCATTTCAATAAAATGCTTCTCATTCTTCCAGGATATCCAGGTTTCTCATGCAGGAATGAAAGCCTTGGTAGGTTCAACAGAATTTATGTTATCAGTATCAATCCCCACAGAGATGTGAACCTAGGTTACTTATAGTTAAATAATAAAATAATTCTTGCAATTGATATAGCACTTTTCACATTCAGAGGACGTCTCAAATCACTTTGCAGGATTTCCTGAGAACTATTGTGGTACTGTATATTTTGCAGCCTAACATGGCAGCTAATTTGCACACAGCAATATCCTACAAAGCCATGAAGTGAATGACCAATTTTATTTGGGAGATTGCTGACCAGGAGACTGTGAGAAACTCCCTTCTCGTTTAGAATAGTGCCACAGGATATTTAAAGTCCACCTGAACAACCAGACATGGACATTGATTTAACTTCTTATCAAAGGGATGGCACCTCCAACAATGTAGCACACCTCCAACACCATATTGAAGTGTCGGAATCACATAGTATAAACTGATTCCCACGTTTTATATTTATTACACCAAATTGTTTGATTTCCAATTAGGTTGATTGGAAACAATTCCCAAATGCCCCAATAAAATTAAAAGTTAGAGTTGGAAGATTATGTAATAAATCCTTTATTTTCATATTTCCCTTATAATAATATAATAATAATAATCCTTGCATTTGATATAGCGCTTTTCACGTCGGGAGGACGTCCCAAAGCGCTTCACAGAATATACTGTAAAGTGAGTTGACTGTATATTTGTGGGCGAACGCGGCAGCCAATTGCGCACAGCAATGTCCCACAAACAGTCATAGATTGAAAATGACCAATTTAATTATTGTTTTTGGTTTTTGGAGGGATTATTATTAGGCGTGTGGAGTAAGGAAACTTGCCCAAGGTTTCGCCCTGCCTGGAATTGAACACAGGTCTCTCGCTTGCAAAGCGAGTGCTCTAACCACTGAGCTACAGGACTCCACTCCTTGATGTTTAAATGGGTGACAAGGACTATAACTAGATGACTGCAGAAGATTCCTGTTATTTTCATTATTGTTATGAGGTTGAGTAGCTAAATTACCTCTGAATAGATCTAGGTCATAGACATTCTACAGTAATTAAGAAAAAGCCTAAAAATGACAATGAATTTTACATTGGAAGACATTTAATTTTTAAAAATAAATATATCTTTTGTTTCGCCCACAAAATACACAATCAATCCACTTTACAATATTTCCTGTGAAGCGCATTGAGCTCAACAACATGATAAGGCACTATTTCAAATGTAAGGATGATTGTTATTATTGTTATCACTTTACTTTCAAAGTTCTGGATTATACATTGAATCTCAGCAAGTATTCCTCTGAGGTTATTTTAGTGTTACGTTATCAGTATTTACTTTGCAGAACAAGAAACATAAACATTTTTGCAACAAACATCAATTGTAAGAGAGGATGAAATAACTTCTTGGAAAGCTTTGGAAGGATACTATTCGATGTGAAAGGTGTTTTGTAAGCGTACATTGTATTGTATGGTTGTTGTAGTATTTTGAGTATGTCCTTTCATCAGAAGCAGACAGTTATTTTTGTATAGCGTTGTGAGCTCTTTCATGTGCAAGCTATTAGATAATATCTAATCGAGTGTGGGCTGTGAATAGAGATTTGTTTTCCTTGTCTCGTACACATCTACATTTGGTGATGTCACAAACAGATGGTTTCACAGCATTTTCTCATGTACTCATCTGGTGCTAAAAGTTCTTGGCTCTGGTGCCTCTTGATCAGCATCAAGGCCTAGAGAGGAAAACAATCTGTGTTAAATCCTATGGAACTGCTGCAACTCGCTGAGAAG